ATTCTTCCTTTCTCCTTTAATCCAATCTGATCAAGCTTTTACCCCTCATAAGTCCAAAAAAAGTGCTCTTTTTAAGATCACCAGTGACCTCTGTGATCTTAAATCCAGTGATCAGTTCTCCATCCTCATCTAACTTGACCTGCCGGCATCGTTTGATGCATCTGATCACTGCTTATTCCTTAATAAACCTTCTTCGCTTGGCTTCCAGGTACCACACTCTTGTTTTCTTTCTATTTTGCCAGTTGCTGATTCTCAGTCGTAGCTAGATCCTCTTCTTCCTGATTTCTTAATTTTAGAATGTTATGTTCTTTCTTCTTTTTTTCTCTCCTTTATCTACACTCACAGCCATCGCGTGTATAGGCTAGTCACTCACACCGCTAGGCCCGCGCGCCGTCCACACTTCACGGCTCCAGCAGTGTCCCCGTTTGGATGCTGAATGCCTCTCAGACTCAACGTGTCCAACACTGAGCTCCTGACCTTCCTAACCTGCCCCAGTTCTGTTTCACTGAGCTCAGTCCAGGTAGCTCCCTCCTTACAGCGCGCGACAACTGGAAACACGTCCTCAGTGACTTCTGTTCTTCCACAGCGCCTAACCCATCTTTCAGGAAATCCCGTCAGCGCTAATTTAAAAATATACCCAGAGTCTGCCCATTTCTTACCACCTCTGCTGAGTTACTAGAAGTCCCTGCTCAGGTCTCCTTCTATTCCTGTCCTCTTAGAGTCTGTTGTCAACAAATGAGCCAGAGCCGGCCTCTGAAAACCTGGATCCTGTCATGGTGCTCTTCTGCCTGAGATCCCCAGGCGGCTCCCTGTCTTGCTCAGGGCAAGAGCGAAGTTAGTACAGCGGACATGAGGCCAGGACCTCACATTTCCTCTTTGGCTTCGTGGCCTACTGTGTGCCCCCATGTCCAGTCCCCTGCAGTCTCACTGTGCTCCTTGCTGTTCCTCACAGATTCCAGGGATGCTCTCACTTTGAGATCTTTGCTTCGAGTATTTCTTTAACTGGAATATTCTTCTCCCAAATATCTGCTTGGGTATCCCTTTCATCTCCCTCAAGTCTTTGCCTAAATCATGCTTTCTAAATGAATCCTACTCCGACTGCCTTATTTAACACTGCAGCCGGCCCCCAGCTTTGCACTTCCTGCTCTGCTCTGTGCGTGTGTGCATGTGTCATAGCATCATACTATATTTACCTAAAAATATGTTTGTTGTTTAACTTCTCTGCTCCCACCAGAATTTGATCCTTGAATATATTCTTGAGGCTGGGGAATCTTTGTTAGTTGTAAGTTGGGAAATTGTGGATAACTATCCCCTTACTAAAATTATAAGTATTGATAAAACAACTAACTAAATAAAGGCAAGCCATGAATATACCAATGATGAGAATATGTCATGAATAATAGATTGTAGCTAATCCAATTCTAGGCACATGATATCCCCCAAAATAAATAAAAAAATAAAAACAAAGAGAACCAAGGGGAAAAGAAAGAGCATTGGGATAAAATTAAACAGGATAAGCTAATGTTCTTAGTTCATGAATTTTCTTCCTCTTTAAAAGTTATTGGGAAAGAAAGGAGTGAAAAGGGGGCTATAAATGCTGCTATGAGTCTTGATAGATAAGATTGGTTAAGGATGATGCTGACTTGGGGATAAAAAGAGTATTTGGGGCTTTAAAATGTATATGTCCTATATAAAATGTATATGTCCTTGGCCTATCTTATTAACTCTTCTGAAATATGCGTTCAGCTGTAACTTATTAGCAACTAAAAATGTCAAGATTTATTTTAAAAATATTAAAGTACTCTAGGGCTTTAAAACAACCAGTTGCTTAAGTCCTCATTAGGAAGTACAGCATATGCAAACCTATGAGAGTTGGTTACTCAAGAAAGCAAAATGCTTTTGAGCTTTTTATTCAGTGGGGTAAATTACTGTGTTTTGTTTCCAGTGGTTAACTAAATGGTGACAGTAAAGACCACTTTTGGGAGGAATAAAAATTTCCCTGGGGGGCCAGTGGGACATCAGGCCCACACAGTTACTTTGTTGTGAAGACTGGAGTTGCTATGTCCACGGATTTTGATGCCAGTTATTTGCAGTGGAAAAGAATAATCTTTTGGGACTTATTTTTTAATATTATTTAATGTCAACATTTGATGAAGCAGTTATAGATTGGAAGTAAGAAATCTTAAAGGATATTAGTTTAAACATTGGCAGTAAAACTGCAGAAAATACTTAGGTACAAAAAAAAATGAAAGTAAATTTACTTTTTTAATTGAGTTTTAAAATGTAAGGCCATTTTGAATACCGTTTATTGGGGTTTTGCAGGACCTCCAATAAAACACCCTCTTCTCCTTTGTAAGGATAGATTATAAGAAATCAGTAGAAGGAGATCAAAATGCCACCTTTATTATTAGTCAAAATCTGGTCTGAAGGGGCGACTTAGACTTGCAGCCACAGCCATTCTCTCAACACGCCAGCACTGTCAGCACTCACGCCCACCGGGCACCTGGCACAAGCCACCAGGGGATGGCTGCACACCTCCTCCCGGCAGATGTGTGCTGCGTGGCGAGGGGCAGACCTGGCAGGGCCCTGGGGTTTGCAGCTCCAGAGAGAGAGACAGAGGGAAAGGCAGACGTGAACTTGCTCAGTGACACCCACTGGCCAGACCAGTGGGTGCTTCTCTCACAGGCAGAGGCCGAGCAGGGGAACAAGGGTGAGGGTGTCTTTGTAGCCAAGCCCGCAGCTGGGGAGGGGTGTGCTCCCATCCTCCCCGCCTGAGAGCGTGCCTTGCCTTGCCGGTCACCTGGGTGACCTGTTATGTTAGCAGTAATGGTGCCATGTGTTTCAAAATGTGTGCGCTAGTGGGAAGGGGGAGTGGGGATTATTACATTTCCAAATTTCCACTTCCATTTTTCAGAAAATTATGCAGAGAGCTGCAAATCGGAGACTCTTAAATTGCTAGCACGCGCACTGCCGTGAGTGGCTGGCGCAGGCGAGGAGGAAGGGAGACGGAATTAAAGGCAGCAGGGCCTTTATAGGTGAGCAGAGCGCAGGGTGCTGCTAGAATGCCCTTTCCCTGCGGGAGGCGCACTGCTGCCCGGGCCGCGGTGCCCAGGAGAAACCCGCAGGGCACACCCGACGCCCGCCAGCATCTCCTGGGCCCGCGGCCGCGGTGGGACGGCAACGGGCCTGTGCTTTGCCCTCCGGCCGGAGACGGACGGCCGGCCGGGCAGGCCTGGCCCGGTGGGGAGAGGCGGTGGCGCCCGCGACCCAGGGGAGAGTGGGAACCCCGAGTTCATGCTGGAGGCAGTGGTAGGGTCTGACAGGGAGACAGGCTTCAGACAACTTAATTCCACTGGTTTGTTAAGGGTCTAAAGAAAGTCCCTCATCTTTTTAGAGATAATCCTTATTTTCCTTCAACGATCAGCCTCTCCCCAGTTTATGGTCGCTGTCACCATTGACCGATGAAGCGATGGCTCCCTGGCAACGGGGCTGTGGCTGGTGCCACCAGTGAGCATGCCCTCCCTGCCCCTCCCTGTCCCTCCCTCCCCCTCCCCGTCCCTCCTTCTACTTCCTTCCCTGCCCCTCCCTGTTCCTCCCTCCCTGCCCCTGCCTGCCCCTCCCTGTTCCTCCCTCCTTGCCCCTGCCTGGCCCTCCCTCCCTGCCCCTGCCTGGCCCTCCCTCCCTGCCCCTGCCTGGCCCTCCCTCCCTGCCCCTGCCTGGCCCTCCCTGTTCCTCCCTCCCTGCCCCTCCCTGTTCCTCCCTCCCCGCCCCTCCCGGCCCCTCCCTGCCCCTCCCCGTCCCTCCCTGTTCCTCCCTCCCTGTCCCTCCCCGCCCCTCCCCGCCCCTCCCTCCCAATGCCTGCTGAGGTCTCCCGTGCTCGCCCTGAAAGACATCAGGAGACTTAATTTCACAGAATTTCTTTGGTCTGTGGCTTACCATAGCATAAGCTTATGAGGTTGAGCTGTACAAATTCAATTTTAATCAGATACTGTTTTTGTCCTAAGCAAGCTCTAAGTACCACAAATGAAGCTCTCGCTGATTTTGAAACCATCTGTAACTCCTAAGTGTAATTAGGATTAAAACAATGTTGAGATTTCACACTATCCTTCTTCAACACTTACACTTTTATATTTGGTGCCTCCATTCCCTGAATAGTGGTCAGCTGAATGTTTCCCTGCCATAAACTGTGGCATGTTAAGGACCCAGCAAGTGAAAAAGCGGTGGCTTTGGATCTGGCGGCAGCGGGGCCGCGCGCTCAGTGCGCCGGCGCGGCGCCGAGTCTGGGCGACCGCGCAGGCGCAGAGGAGCTGCTCTGCCTGAGCTCCATTGCACTTTCCTGTGGTCGTCAAGATGGTTTCTTTCAACCCCTGTGTGAGGGGAGGTTGATTTGCCTGGACTTGGGTGATAAACCTGTCAAATACAACAGAATTTGTGATTCCACCGGGCCCTATCATAAAAATCAGTTTTGAAACCTGCCAAACTTAAGAGAAATTGGCTGATTCTGGGGGGCTAGAGCTTATTGCATAGATTTGGATAATGTCTGCACATATGTTCAAAAAGCCCTTTGTGTCAAATACGTTTGTGTTTAAGATTCCTTCAGCAAAGGATTTGTAACAGTAAATAAATACAATGGAAAACAAAGTTAAACAAAGGTTTTAAATTTATTTATCCACTTAGTGTTTCAAATACTCTATCGTCTACTCAAAGCTACATTTTCTTCTACCGACATCTCTTCTTTTAAAATCCAAATATTCTAACGTTAACTTAGAAGATGTGTGAAGACAGGCCAAGGGAGATGAGACAAGACCATAAACCCAGTGAGGAAGTCCAAAGAGGACGAGCCACGCTGGGCCACAACGGCAGCCAGGACAACGTGGAAATTCTAGATAAAGAAGACACTGCTCTGAGATGTAACAGACTGCCAGTGACGACGCCATCCAGTCGTGAGCCGCGGAGAGGCACCATGGCATCCTCTGCCTTGCGTGAGCTCACAGTTGTCCTGCAGATGAAGACGCACGGTAAGGCACAGCCCAGTGGGGGCCAGAGGCAGGTGCACTCCTCCAGGGACTAAAGTGGCGAGGAGAGACTTATGAAGAGGGTGGGGTTTAATTTTGGTCTTTCTCTCCCCCTCAATTTTTATTCTTAAATTATTAAATACTTTAAGCATGGGACTTGAAGGGCGTAAGCAAAACAGATGTTGATTATCTCATTTATGAAATTCTATACATCAGGCACTGATGGCAATTTTTCTATGACTTAAATATAATTTTCTTCCCCAAATTGCAGCTAACACAATGTTAGAAAGTTTAAACAAGGTGTCCAAAGTCACATAGCTACAAAGCCAAATCTGTTCAATTCCAAAGCACAAGATCTTACCGTGCAGTTATTGCTTATATATAGCTAATGATCAATTATCTGCATCTCGTAATAAGACAATGAAGGCTATGGCACAGAGAATTTCCTTCCTAACATGAAGCATATGCTAGTTTTTAAAGGAATTCCCCAAATGTTAATTGTGAAAACTATTTAACAAACACAGAAAAAATGCTTATTATATGTCAAATGTAAAAATAACAATATAATAAAATGTACATTGTATAGACATAATTCTATACATGTGGACAAATTCCTGTACACATATAGACAAATTCCTGACAGATAAATTTAAAAGGAAGATAGTTTTCTTGTAGTAATAAGAGTCATAGTTAATTTTTTCTTTAAAAAATTTCTTTCAATGTTGCATAATTTGTATCTTTTCTAAATTAGAAAAAATTAAAACTATTCAATTAATTCAATAAGAGAAACTTAAAAAAAATTATCCTCAAAATGAAAATTACAACCTGTTTTAAAACATGAAATCAGTTTGGGAGGTCAGGGCATAATTGATATTTTCTAGCAGAAAAACTTTTGTTTATGAAAACGAATTTTTAAATTGTTTTGCTAGAAAATAAGGTTTATTTTTCCTTTCCAGAAATTTCCACCAAAGTTGCCATTTCAGAAAATGAGAAATTTCATAGAATAGGATCTCGTGCTCTTCCCTTCCTCTTCCCACACCCTGCTCTGTGGCCCACCCCATTTTGAGAAACAGGAGCCTTACATTCTTCTTGAGTTCTCCCCATCTTCCTTTTTATCCAAAGAATTCTGCTTGACTTTTAGGGCTCACAAAGGAGCAAGAGGTTTCCAAAGGAAGAGGTAAATAACGTAGTTCATTTTTTTTTTAGACTTTCACAGTTTCTTGAGCGTGAGGAGAACTGACTGGTGTTTCTATATGCTTGAGGGAGGCATAGCTGAGAGGTATTGATGAAGCCAGAAATTAAGCTTGTAGCTAGATGCTCAATTTATTGTTTTGTTTTGTTTTTGTTAGGTTTTTCTGAATGGATAGTGAAAAATTATAAATCTTCTTTTCCTACTCCTTTTAAGTGACCCACCAAATTAAGATCCTATCTTTTTCCATCCTCTTTACTTGCCCTGAATCAACTTTGCTAAAGTTCAGGATGGAAAATGGTCATGGACTCTTTTAACCATCTAAAAGAAACACTAACATGGTCCATAGCATCGCTGACAGGGTTATATAGAATTTCTGCTTGAATTTCTCTGCCTATTTGAGAGTTTGAATCACTTACTACTGTGAACAGGAGGATGACTTTTTCATCACCTTCTTTATTATGTAAACTAAGGTTTGGGGGTAGGAGGTAATGGAAATAACCTACCTGTCTTAGCTACTAGTAGAGAGTTTTTATTTGGGGTTTAAATTAACTGCTATTTTATACTCATTTAAAATCTTATGTTAAGGTAAAACAAAAAAAATTATTGCTTTTCTAAAGCTCAGTATTTTTTTTTAAGTTTTTGGATTACAATGAATACACAGAGAATATTTTTGGAAACTGTCTTAGGAATGTGATTATAGCCCTTTCCACAAAGACTTTTCTATCTGCCATTATAAGTCAGTGGCTGCCCCAAAACTTCAACGGAAAGGACTGCTTTATCTTCATAAATCAATGGAGTCTATCTTTAAGGCAGACATGTTGTCAGACAGCCCAAGTTCTGGAAGTAGTTAGCAAACTTGCCAGGCAATTGCGAGTTTATGAGAAAAGATAATGCCATTCTATTGTAACGATTCACATAGAAGATAAAAAAGGAGGTTTTACCTTTTACTGAGGAAGGTAAAGAGATGGCGTGGTGGTGGTCATGAAATTGTGAAGAGAAACTGAGTACCTGGGCATGTATCAGACCACCTCAATAAAGTGAATTTTGCAAGAAAGGAAGCCGCACACATTTTTTGGTTTCCCAGTTCACATAGAAGTTATGTTTACACTAAAATGTAGATTAAGTGTGAAATAGCATAGCTACAAAAACAATGTACCGATCTTAATTAAAAAACACTTATTGCTAAAAAATGCAATGATTATCTGAGCCTTTCATGAGTTGTCTCACGGTTGGTTGAGGGATGTCGACTCAGTGTTAGAGGCTGCTGATTGATCAGGTGGGGGTGGGGTGGGAATTTCTTACAATAAGACAACGATGAAGTTTGCTGAATTGATTGATTCTGCCTTTTATGAAAGATTTCTCTGTAGCATGTGACGCTGTTTGGTAGCATTTTGCCCATAGTAGAACTCTTTTCAGAATTGGAGTCAATCCTCTTAAACCCTGCTGTTGCCTTATCAACTAAGTTATGTACTTCGTTGCCACATGCTTTGTTGTCATTGCAACAACACTCACAGCATCTTCACCAAGAGTGGTTCCATTTCAAGAAACTTCTTTCTGCTCATTCATAAGAAGAAACTTCTCATGTGTTCGAGAATATCTACCTAGTGTTGTGGGAAGGGCAGGATGTCTAAAGAATGTTATACTCAGCTAAGTTCTCATGCAAGTGCAAAAGCAACTGGCAGGTATTCCTAAACAGGAAAAACTGAAGGAGTAGAATCTTCTTAAGAAAAAAGAAATAGTGATGAAATCCAGGCAACCAGGGATGAATGGGGGAAGTTGTGGTTTGACTCATCTAAAGCTCAATGCCAGATGACAGTCGAGCAATACTTATAAAAGTTATGATGAGAGGATGTGAACCAGACCCTAGAATTTTATACTGAGCCAGTTGTTTTTTGAGAATAAAGGCAAGAGACAAACATCTCAGGTAGGTACAAGGAAGATAGCTTGTTTGAGCCCTTGAAAAAATTTTCTTGATAAAATGCAGACAACTGAGAGATAAATTGAAATGAAGAAGTCACACTTAAAGAAATTGTGGTTTAAAACAAAAGGTTAAATAGTAATAACAACAAAAATAGCAAAACAAAAAAACAAAATTGATGAAAGAGTTAAAGTTCATTTAAACATCGAATACACAGTTTTGTTTTGAAATGGGGGAATTATAGTTTAAGATCAGAATATAAATGTTATAAACCCTGAAAATATAAAATAAATAATATATATTTGCAAAAGGAATAAGGGTGAGAAAGTGGGAGAAATTATAGGTTTATTTCTTTATTTTTCAAAATATGGAGAGAGTTGATAATATCTCAAAGCAAAAAAAAAAAGTTAAACAAAACCTAATGACTCTAATCTCTTAATGGTCTTTATAATATCATATATAATATATAATACCAGAGGCCACTTTCAAGAACTAATATCTTTTGGCTACAGAAGATCTACAGTTCAGCAGTAAGTATCCTTACTTTTCCTTCAGTTCTTAGTTCTGTTACAGTTAAGCACAATTAACTTTGATATTTTTATTTAAGAATAGAAAATAGAGTATTATTTTAATTTTGGAAGATTGTGAATTATGACTCTCTTCTTTGAATTATTCTGGACTATATGACTTTATACTACCGCCACTACTAAATAATAATAAAACCAATATCCAACTTTTCTTGAGCACTTGACAAATGCCCAGAATTTTCTAACTACCCCACAATCAACTGTATTAATCATCACAATAACTGTTACCATCTCCGAAATAACAGTTATAGATGAGAAAACTGAGGAACAGAGAGGTGAGGTAATTTGCTGAGACTCTCACAGCTACCTAAGGGTGGAGCCAGGATAACCAGATATCTCATTAAATGAACATTTATAATATTTTACCAAAATAATTAAATAATTACACTGTAAAAAGGAACAGGTGAATATTGTAAAGATTTATGGACATCTTCTGACACTTGAACGTATTGAATATATGAAATTATAACTTCCAGTATAACTTTTGTGTTACTGAAACTCTGCTTATATTATCTTGACCTCTGGAGAATAGTTTTATTTTATTTTTTTAAAAAACTGAACTACCTAGATCAAAAATAAAGTAGGATTCTCATAAGCCACTCTATTATGCTTTTCCTTCCTTTCTGAAACTGTAGCTATCACCTACTGGTATAAATGTATTCTAAGGCATTATAATCCTGTCTATGACACATTTTTCAGAAAATCAAGCAGTCCTTGACTTCAGAGGTCAAGTGAGCACATTTTCTTATAGTTGTGCTGGGTTACACAATGCAGTTCATTACTTAAGTGTGGCATCTTGAAATTAGGTCAAAATGTTGTTGAGACTTTTCCTATTTTTCTAGAAGTCAAGAATTTCTGCAGCATGCTTCTAGGGCTAAAACTCCCAACTTTTACTCGCTATAAACTTTTTTTGGAAATTTGGGATGAGCCTAAAACTCTGTTACCGGGTATATAGCACTGTGATCCACTGCCTGGGGGCTGGGGCTCTGTGCTGGACCACAGACGGGAAGATTAGTATCTAATTTTGATGCCCCAAATAACTTGTCTCAGATTGTGCTATGACATCTCTACACAGGTATGTTTGATGTTTGAAGACCTAGTTAATTACAAAACCCACTGGAGTTAATGAAAAAAAAATGCTGTAATTATTATGTAGAAATTTCTTTAGCTATAACATGAATTTTTAAAATGTGATCATTTAAAATGCTGGCATTATGAAATAATTATTTTATTTTAGTTGCTCATTTTAGAAATTACATGAAAATGTGCTTTTAATATATTCATCTTTGATTTCCAAAGATAAAGGAAGATATAATACTTAAAAATTATTCTTCACTCAGTAAATTTGTTTTCGAAAGTTATTTCAAGGTATGTGTGTGTGTACATATATATGGGGGAGGGAATTGGAGGTAAGGTGGAACTGGATCCTTATTCTACAACAGCCTTTTCTGAAGTTGGGAAGAACTCTTCATTAAGCTGAAGCCTTGTGCTGAAATTTCTTCTATGTGTGTGGTCTTATAATATTTCTGTTGTTTTTGTTTTGTTTTGTTTTTTCAAGGGATACTTCCTCTTTCTTGTTGCTTAAATACAGTCAATGTCAATTACTTAACAGCAGGGATATTTGAACAATGATGCCCAATATTCATAGACATATGTCATTAGTTTGCTGCCAAAGGTCTACAATGCTATCTGACATCCAACACAGAATTTCTTTCAATTGGTATAGCAAGTTTTCTGTTTGTATGGAATGACATTTATTTATTTTAAATTATAATTATATATTAACTTGACTTATTTCCCCTCATATGCTAGAAACTCGCCGAGGGCAGGATCTGTACTAGAAATGATATTAAAAGCTCCTAGAAGGCAGTCTCTGCCTAAGCCATCTTTGCACCCTCTAAGACTGTATATAAGTTCTCAATTTCCAGGAGATGGTGTTTCAAATGCTCATTTGTAAGTTGGTTTTCAGAAATCTGATTATTAGATTTCCAGGCTGGCCCATAAAAGCCTGCTTTATGCATTGTCTGAAATACTTCTGATTAAAAAGAAAGGAAGTCAAAACAATACCACTGCAAAAGTCATGATGAAAGCATGGAAAAATAAAATTGCATAAGAAACTGTATTCAACTTAGACAGTTGTATTTGAGAAATTTTATGTTTATTCTGTGAAAAGTGAAAATCAAAGAAGACTTTAAAAATTCTCAGTATTATGTTTTTAGAGATTAATGGAACTGACCCTTTATTGGGTCTAATTTGACTTCAAAGTTCATGGGTTTTCTTTGGTGTAGTGAATTCTTCTTGTTCTGGTCTCCTGACAATTCCTAGTTTGTGACCTTGGACATGTTAGTTGATCTCTGTGCCTCAGTGTATTCATCAAAAAAAAAAGGGAAGTAATTGTAACTATCTCAGTGGATTATTGCAAGGATTAAATGAGGTGACAAACATAAAGCAGGAACAATAGCATTTGATATTAATTAACTGCCCCTTACGTGCTGAATATTCTTGTTGTGGTTACTCATTTTGTCTTTCTGAATGCTCTTATACTAAGTATCTCTTTAACCTGCTTGTCACATTGCATCTTATTTTCTAGGTACTTATGTAATATCCTATTTATCTTATGAGATTTTAATCTCCCTGCTGGCAGAAGATGATTTATATTACACAAACTGTAAGACATTATATAGCCTCTGCACTCAATAAATATTTATTTCAATAACTTTTTGTTGTTGTTGTTGTCATTTCAAAGTAAAACAAAGAGAAGAGGAGCAAGGGCAAACGTCATTTCCTTGGGTGACTGGACAGGCCGTGTAAGGGGGGAGCACTCAAGGGAGTCGCAGCTGTGCCAGCCCCCAGGGAGCTGAGCCAGTGGAAGAATCTGCTGAGCTGAGAAAAACAAAAGGAGACTTCGGGGTCCATGTCACAGACTGGCTCATGTTTAACCGCAGTCACTGAGAGAGAAGGTGTTTTCAGGAAGAAAAGAGAGGTGTATGCGTCTGATAGAGGTATTTAAGCACTTGTGCCCACGTGGATGCAATTCTCTAAGTTTATAGCTGCAGATAAGTAGAACCTGAAAGCCCCAGGTGTCTCCAACTTTTGAGTATAAATGAGATCACTTTAGCTTAACTTAATGGACACATTTCCTGTGTTCTAATGCCAACTCTGCTCCCATAGGAGTGTGGGCCCCTCCTGAGACTTCCCCTGAGTATTTAGGGAGTCATTTCCACTTTCAGAGTCCTCGTTTGGGACCCAGTGTCATTCTTGTCCCTGCCACCTCTGCCTCTTCCCTGGAAGGTCCTTCCCACAGCCAGGCTCCGTCCCTGGCACCCAGCATGGGCAGCTGTCCTGTGACGTCTCTGGGAGGCAGACAGTGGCCTTGCCCAACTCTGTGTGGCCCCTCAGGCCCAACTGCATCTCCTCAGGGTTTCCATGTTCATTTGCACGATTCCTTCAGCTTCTTGTCAAATTCTTCTACAGGCTCAGAAACCTGCCTCAGCCTGGTTGGGAAGTTAAGAGAACAAAAGCCAAGCCTTTCTCCCATTGTCTTCATTTCTGGCCCCCTTGAGAGTCCCCATCTCAAATGTCCCTTTCTCTCCTTCCAGGTGGGACCTGAGCGGGCTGGGGGAGGCAGCGCTCTCTTCCTCCTGCCCGAGCTCTCGCCCAGCCCCTGCTCCTCCCGCGCAAGCCCACGGGCTCTGTTGCAGATGTTAGACTCCGATTCCAACAGCAGAGCAATAAAACTAGTTTTTAAAACAAGTGACACAGAGTTTCTCCCACACCAAAGTTTCTTCACTTGTTTCCATTCCTCCTAGTTCTCTTGTGATCTCAAAATGGAACATGAGAAACAAAAAGGTTACTTATTCTTAGTATACTTAGTATGGGGAGATATATGGATTGGATCAAAAGTGATTGACTATTAGCCAAATGGACTGCCTCTTTGCTCATTCTTGTGTTGTTACAGAAAATAGTCTGAATTTAGCAAGAAGCATTTCTATGAATTTCTATGAATCCACAGAAAACAAATAGACTAAAACAAGCATTTTCCCATAGACTTGTGTTTGAAATGTTCCCTTAAGCACTAAGTGTTGCAGATTTAGGGTACTTTGTGGCAAATGTTAGGGGAAACTCCCCCCTCCTAGCCAGTTCCCTATTAATAAATAGTTACGTTATAATTATATCTTATTAGAGTCAGATAGGATTTTCATTGAAATCCTTTTATTATCTACTTAAAATAACTTCTTTAGAAAATAACAATATATTATCTGCACTATTTCTCTGGCCCTTTCTGGGTAAAGATGAAGACCCTTGAACTATTTCAAAGGTATTGCATAACTGGGGGCCAACTTCAATACCATCCTGTCTTGGGTGGGGTAGACAAAAAGAAAAAAGTCTAGTCTATTGTCAGGCTCTGTGAATAGGATCTGAGTACTGTTTCTTTAATTGTGAGGCAAACTTTTTTAGACCCAAGATACTTGAAGATAATGATACAAATCACAACTATTTCTTTCTCATTTGGAGAAGAGAGAGATGGGCTTCCTTTTTGGTATTAGGTTATTAAGTATGAAATATCCAATTTCCTTAAGTACTAGGTTTGACAGCTGGTATCTCTGACATTTTCACTTTGACACTTCTTGTTTTATTTTTATTGTGAAAGTATATCCTCATTTTTTCAAATGCCTACTTTGGCCTGTGATTATCTTTCAAAAAAATTTTAGAGCAATTTTTGTGAAACCATGAATAAATCGAAATTTTGAGTTATTTTCTAATATGAGTTCTGTTGTGGAATCCATGCAGCACAGACAGCTCAAAATATCAACAAAGTGTTTGGGGAGGATGTGGCTAATGAATGCACAGTACAACAATGGTTTGAGAAGTTCCATTCTGGTGATTTGAATCTTGAAAATAAGCCACTTGGGCAGTCTGGGACCCAGGTGGGTGATGATGAGCCGAAAGCTGCAGTGGAAGCGAGTCCCTCGCAACCCATGCGTCACATAGCAGTAAGATCTGACATTGCTATTCTGGAAATATTGGACCATTTGAAACAAATCGGCAATGTAAAGAAGCTGGATAGATGAGTTCCGCATGAATTAAACGAGTGTCCTTTGAAGAGAAATTTTCTCAAACTTGCCTTTCTTTGCTGTCACAACATAAAGGCAAATCATTCTACACTGCATTGTTACATGTGATGAAAACTGGATTCTTTTTGACACTAACAAGCATTTGGCACAATGGTTGGATGAAGATGAAGTGCAGAAACACAGTCCAAAACTGAATATTCATAAAAAAAGTCTAATGGTGTCTGATGGCCCAGCACTGGTATTATCCACTACAGCCTCGTGAAACCTGATCAATCGATTCCAGCAATGCCTACTGCAACAATTGGGCCAAATGGTGAAGATGCTTGTGATTAAGCACTGAGCTTGGTCAATAGAGACAGGCCAATCCTCTTGCAAAACAGTGCTTGACTGCATAATGCATAAACAATGCTGCTCAAACTACAAAAGCTGGACTTGGAAACTCTCTGTCATCCACCATATTCACCAGATCTTGCACCAACGGACTACCACTTCTTCCAGGCTTTGGACCATTTCTTGCAAGGAAAAATACTCAATTCTCAACAAGCTTTTGAAAAGGCTTTGGAAAACGCCTTTTGTAATTTCATCGCCACTCACTCTCCAGGCTTCTTCACTATTGGCATAAACAAGCTACCATTAAGGTGCTAAAACCATGATGATAGTTTAGGCACATACTTTAATTATACTGCTTCTGGTTTGAGATATAATAAAATAAACTTTTGATTCAAAATTGGACATTTCATATTTATAACCTTAATATTACTTTGGAGTTGATCTAAAAGAAAGAAGTCATTTATATAAGCAGTATTTTAAGGTAGGCATAACATACTGGCTTGTATATGGGAATTCAAAATTTTCATAAACATCCATGCCGGGTGACAAGTTTTAAAAATCCAGTGAACTAGTTCAACCTTTGTGGAAAGCAATATGGAGATACCTCAAAGTGATACAAGTAGATCTACCATTTGATCCAGCAATTCCACTACTGGACATCTACCCAAAAGATCAAAAGTCACTTTATGGAAAAGACACTTGCACTTGAATGTTTATAGCAGCACAATTCACAATTGCAAAGCTATGGAAATAACCCAAGTGCCCATCAATTCATGAGTGGATTAATAAAATGTGGTATATGTATACCATGGAATACTACTCAGCTTTAAGAAACAACGGTGATAGAGCACCTCTTGTATATTCCTGGATAGAGCTGGAACCCATTCTACTAAGTGAAGTATCTCAAGAATGGACAAACAAGCACCACATGTACTCACCAGCAAATTGGTATTAACGGATCAACACCTAAGTGGACATATAGGAGTAACATTTATCAGGTGTCAGGAGGGTGGGAGGGGAGACCAGGGGATGGGTGTATAGAACCACAACAAGTAAGATGTGCAATGTTTGGGGGATGGACATGCTTGAAGCTCTTACTAGAGGGGGAGGGCGGCATGGGTGGTATAAGTAACCTTAACACTTGTACCCCCATAATACGCTAAAATAAAAAAATAATAAAAAAATCCAGTGAAAGCAGTATGTATCGTTTTAGTTTAAATACAAAATGGAAGCTAATGGATGTCCTTAATTAGGAAGATAGCTAATATACTTAAAAGAATTTTTATAAGAACATTCTGGAATTCTGGTTCTGGAATGATGTCATAAAGCAAATCAGGTTTCTCAAGCAACATTTAATTGAGGTTCCCAAAAGGTGACACATTATAAGTAATTCCACATTCTAGGGCTGCTTTAGAACTGCCTTAATAAAACCCAGAACCATGAGGGTAGGCCATAGTTGACTGCCTGCCAGAACGAAGCTGAAGGCTCTTTAAAGGCAGACAGAATGATCCAGATTCACTAACTGTAGCATTGCAATGCCCCAATTTAACCAGAATGAATAATTACGAATACTATGTCATGGATATTGGAGGTGCCGCTATGTTCTTCAGAGAGGACTGATTTCTCCTCATTTCAGTAGAAAGGCAGCATGTCTGGACTCCCCTTGCAATGGCCAGCAGCTGAAATCTTTCGGGTTTTTAGCTGATGTGTTTGGAGTCCATCAGTGCTGAAGGCCAGCAGCTGGTTGGGGGACATGAAGGGTGTTGCACATCATGTTACAAAGCTTTGCTTTTATTCCTTAAGAAGCATAGAGCCAGCTGAAGTCTCTGAGCAAAGGAGGGATCTAATGGAATATGTGTACGGAGAATGAGCTTGAGCACAGACTCACGTTAGGCTATGCAGTCAGGAATCAATGGAGACACTAAAAGGAAGAGATGATAAGACTGTGCATGAAGATGGCAGCACAAGGGATGGGGAGGAGCAAGTCTACCCAGAATGTCCCCGTGGAGTCCTCCCTGCGTGCCCTAGCAGGCAGCATCAGTGGAGCTTCCTGGTTAATTGAGCGCGGCTGGTAAGAGAGACGGAGAAGTCAAAGATGCATCCAGCCACCCAAGACTGACTCGAGGGCCTTCTCCACTAAGTAAAATAAGGGGTCTGAGGAAAAAAGATTTTGACAGAGGAAATTTATTTTCAATTTCAGGTACCAGTAATACACGTCCTGCAGATGGCTCTACAAAATTTTTTAAATTAAGAAACTGAAACACAGTCAGCACCTAATATTTCTTTTTCTTCCTATCACTGCCAACCTGGAGAGCATTTTAATGCATTGTCGTTAAAAGGTTGCGAGAGACCCAAGAGAATATTGCAAAATCTTCTCCGTAAGTGCAAAGTTTATGGGAAAAATGTGTAATTATCTGGACATTCAGGAAAGTCACTCTTGTGCAAGCTCTTCTCTGTGATTTCCAATTCTTTATAGACCCTTTCATTTGAACTTTTCATTTTTTTCTGTTGCCTTTCTTCCATCCTTTCCAAGTTTTCATATTCTTCTTTAGTTTCTGGACCTCAGCTGAATAAAGTACTCTAAGAAGTGCCTGACCAATGCCCGGTGGGACATTGCTTCAGGGTTCCTGCGTGCTGTGCTCTATCCTCTATTCCTCTATCTCGCCAGTTCTTAAACTAACAGCCGTGGGCTGCTGACTCACGCTCAGTTCATGATTCACAAATAGCACCTCTTAGCTTCTGTGGCCAACCTCCTCTTCCCCGTCCTGAATTTGCCTTAGGTGTTTGTTTTTCTTTCTTGACTGCCTTCCTGCCAAGTATTTGTTGTTATTTCAATTTGTCAAGATCATTTTGGGTTTCAATTCTGCCTGCAAAGGAATTAGGCATCCTTCTCACCACCGTATGCGAATCCAATTCCAGAGTGCAGTAGGCACGATTTCTGAGCCACTCTAAGCCGCCCATACACAGAGGGGTGCTGCTGTCAGTGACTAGGGCTGGATTTGAAAGGCTCAGTGGGTCATTCTGCAGCAGCATCTTGGGAGGTGGCTTTGCTCATTGTCCTCTTGTCATGTCCCAATGAACAAGAAAGAGGAATCAAGTATAATCAAATGCTGTAAAAAAAAAAATGCTTGTCACATTAGAGTATTCAAAAACATTGGTTTCCTTTCCTTTTATACTCTCTGAAAAAATAAGCAAGTGTTATTTAATCCCTACTAAGAAGAAATGTGTTCCAATAACACAGAATTTAAAATACCTTGAACTATTGCGTGTATAGACTGTCAGAATATAATTCTTTTTCATCTATAAGTAAATCTATCTCACTGGAGAAAAGGAAGATGCTTCTCATTCTATTGGTAATCCACCAATCAGAAAAAATGTGATATAGACAAAGTCATAGGATTATTATATTATCACACATTAGAATGCATGTCCACTTTGCTAAATAAAACAACTGAACTGTTTTAAGCATCTCTAAGTGGCCTTCAGAACCATCTCTCCAAATGCATTTCTATCAGGTAGATACATGATCATTTTCATGATTGATTATTATCCAACTTTTTGCATATGACTGATTTTCAATTTCCTACAGTTATAAAAAAATTGTGCTGTAAGCTATGGGATTGTATTTCCAATGATAAATTATTATATTTAACAAAAGATGCATTAACTCTATTAAATAACAAACGTACCAGTCATGTCGTCCTATGTATAAGAATTAAAATATACACTGAAATATCTCAGATACAAAATCTGTAGTTAAATACTATCCTTTTCCACAAAATTTCTAAAAGCAAAATTTCTAAAGAAATCACTCGGAAAGTACTTATTGAGCATCTACTCTTTCCTGGGCACTCTGCAAAGTGTCAATGACACAGATTTGAATATGGAACAGTCCTCACCTCTGAGGCACGTTCAGTCTTGTGGGGAGGGCTGAGCATGCATTAACAGACGTTGAAGCAACATACGGTGAATGCTGTAGCAGGGAAGCGTGCAAGACACTGAGGGGACACCATTCTGGACCCTTCCTCGTGCTCGCCTTGTCAAAGCCCATCCAAAACACAATTTACAACTCTCACGGTCCACAATGGCCACACGTGAATACTAATTGTCACATGTAATTCATGGCACTTTTAAGTTCTAAGCGTCTGCTTATTTCCCTCCTTCTCACTCTCATTTCTTCAAAATGTATTTATTAAAATTATGGTCTGGTCCAGCAGCACTGTGTATGGTATTCAGAACACAGAAGGCAACAAGACAGGCATGGTTTCTGCCTGTATGAAGCTCATGCTGGTACGGGGAAATACAGTAGTGAGTAGACAAACAATTATGATATGATGTGAGAAGACACAGGACAGACCAGAGAGCACAAGACCAATTGTGTTTATATCTGTTTTAGAGATAGAATGTTTACATTCTAAGATTTCATTAAAAAGCACACATCTGTGCACATTGCTCGTCTGCTTAAATATGTGTGAGAATATTGTACTATGTAATTTCTTTACACTTATAGGACAGCTACATTTGAATTTATATATCAAAAAAGCCTGAAAATATTTTTCAGTATTGGCAGAGATCCCCATCTTTTGGGTTACAATCTTGAACGAATTTGCTGATGCCATATTTTGAGTTTTATGGCTCTCTCACTTTCACATTCAAATTTCAGTCATTCAAAGAAAGCAACGCTTGTTAAATTGTGGCTGTATGGTTTCCACATGGCTGGGGTGCATTGGCAGTTGTGCCTGGACTGAGATCGCAACAACTTGACCGTGATGTGATCTGTCTCAGTAACGCCCTTTAGGTATGGTAAGGAGGGCAGTGCCAGTTTCTTTGAATCTAGGTGATTTCTAAGCTCCTCTCCATATCGTGCTTGTTTTAAGACCCCCAAACATGAGCAGACTGAATAGGTTATTTTCATGATGTAAGTACACATCAAAAATATTAAGCAATTCATTTGCTGGAGTTTCCTTGTTTTCTTTTACCTTATATAAAGAGGATCTAAATATTTAAATCCAGACGTCAATTAACATCATGAATTGGGTTTGAGTCAAAGACTACATGTAGACATATTCTGAGATTAAGATGATTTATACCCTTTCATTATTTCTAAGAAAAAACCCTCCCTGCCCCCTATTCTAAGGTAAATTGATAATACTATATAGGTAATTGACTAAATAACTCCTTAATAGATTCTTAAAGCAATTTATTTCTTCTCTCTATTTAATATCATGATTTCTATTCCTTGAATTTCCCCATTTAAAATCAGTAATTTCTTCCTATTTAGCATGAATTTTTCAGCTTCCTTTGTAGAAGAGATATATTGATTTATGTCAATTTATTTGGAAACGTGTGAAATAAATCAAACAAATAGACTTCTGCTCCGGGTCCTGCCTCAGTCACTGGGAGAAGCCTGCAAAACTGGAATTATTCCTGTTGGCTGCTATCAGGAGAGTGCTGGGAAGGGCATCCTCTGGGGAAATCTTTATTCCAGACTGTAACACTCCCATTGATAGGAAGCTTTATTGCTCTAAAATGCTTCGAAGTTGTTAATTGGTTAATTACATCTTCAGCCTCAAGGGCTCTGAGTGATTTAGAGCTTTGTTTTTCTCTTGTAGTTTGCAGTACTAATTATAGCACTATTTATTTTGAGCTCCTGATATTGGTTTTATTGGGATATGTTTCTCTTGGATGTTTTTGTAGTTATTTTTCTTTTTCCTAATTCTGCTAGGATGCCCAAGGGGCTTGGGACATGGCTGCCTATAAATTAATATAAAAATGAACTACATTTATTTTCTTTGTCATCTGCCAGAATGCCATTTGTAATCCTCTCTTGGAATATGAATCTCTCAAATAGTCACCACAGTGGAATTCAGGTGCAAAGTAAACACAGCAGTTCTAGTATCAGCATCCATTTAGCTAGGGGGAAGTGGAGACATTTTATGCCTGTGGTTATTGCAAACAGATTGCTCACTCTATGCTGTTTGAAATGGAGAGGGAGTAAGTGATTTAAGAATCTGTATTTTAAGTAACCAAGTAACTTACACATCCACAGTTGGCTTCTTCAAGGTTGTGAAACTACAGCCAAAACAAAAATGAAACTTCACTGTGACAAAAAGTAGTTCAAGTGGCAATCGGCGCTTTTCTATTTTCTAATTTACCAGGATCTTTCTCTTGCTGGTTCTCACCTGCGCAAACATTGGGAAAAAATGTTTCGTGGTTGTTTGGTGAGTGATGTAGCTACCTGAAACAAAACCAAAACCAAACAAAACTCTTACTTTGACATCACAAATGATATTTTTAGTGCTCATCGGTGATGTAGAGATGACCAGATGAATTCTGGATCTCAGCACAGGTGGGCCACAGTGAGCCTCCTCAACCTTCTTGCCTGCGCTGCGGATCTGGCGATAGCAGCGTTTCACATCTGCTGTGTTCACACGCACCATCTGTGTTCAGCAAATAGTTCACCCCATGTCTGCGCCTTGATTTTAAATATGTGTGTTAGCTCAAGGAGCCTTCGTTCCAGGCAATGGTGGGCGGATTACCAAATGCAGAATTTCATCTGAACTGGGACTAGCATGATCTGAAGCACATTTATGTTAGTGCAGGAAGGCTGGAGTCACAACAGATAAACTGAAAGATTGTTTCATGATGGATTATACAAGATGCTTTTCTCCAAAAAATGCTTTCTATCACACAAAGGCCAGAGATCACATAAATCCCGTTCAAGACCATCCATCAAGCAGACTTACTCTCACCAAAAGGCTAAGTTGCCAAAAAATGGGGTGTCAGAAGGACTTCAGCCTTTGGGATTATACCTAATACTTACCATAACCCAATGGCTCTTAAGATGGCTGAGCACCCTGCACCTCAGGCTCAGATCCAGTTTTTAGTGCCATCAAGTATACGGCATCAGAATGAAATGACCAAATTCAACAAACAGTTGTTTAATGGCCATTTCAGAATATAAACTTCTTTTAGGTGATTTCTGGGATTAAATGAGAGAAAGAAGTAATCCAAACTCCAGGGCGGGTACTCACAGTTAGCTGAATGAAGACATTGACAAGGTTCTGTAGGGATCGCAGTTACATAAGTTTACCTGATAAACTAGGGACCATGTGGTGGTGGTGGCATCAGTGGAAGCTTGGGGAGAAGGCAGACTTTTATCAGAGCTGGCCTCTAATTTTACTTATAGTGCCTTGCTCTTTCCAGTACATTCTCAGACATTGTAATGTTATACTAAGGGGTGAAAAAAGCCATTCAGCAATGTTGTTGTTCCTGCCACAAGCTGAATTAAACAATGAACACAACAATTTTGAAATAAAGAAGAAAATAATCACCTCAGCTGTAAAGCTAACTTCCAGTGACATCCTTGAATCTCCTGGATACCAAATTGGGAAAGGACACAACAAAAAAAAGGAAACTATAGACCAATATCCCTCACGAATATTGATGCAAAAATCCTCAACAAAATTTTAGCAAATCGAATCCAACAGCATATCAAAAAATAATTCATCATGACCAAGTGGGCTTTATACCAGAGATGCAAGGCTGGTTCAACATACTCAAATCTATAAATGCAATTCACCTCATAGATAAAAGCAAGAACAAAGACCATATGATTCTCTCAATTGATGCTGAAAAAGCATTTGACATAGTCCAGCACATCTTTATGATAAAAACTTTTAGCAAAATAGGCATAGATGGGACATACCTTAAAATTATCAAAGCCATATATGATAAACCCACAGCCAATATCATTCTGAATGGGGAAAAATTGAAACCATTCCCACTTAGATCTGGAACCAGACAAGGTTGCCCACTATCCCCACTTCTATTCAACATAGTGCTAGAAGTCCTTGCCAGAACAATTAGACAAGAGAGGGGAATTAAGGGCATCCAAATGGGGGCAGAAGAGATCAAACTCTCACTCTTTGCTGATGATATCATATTATATCTAGAAAACTCCAAAGATTAAACCAAGAGACTTCTGGAATTTATAAATGAATTCAGTAAAGTCTCAGGATACAAAATCAATATATGAAAATCAGAGACATTCTTATATGCCAATAACAGTTAAGCTGAAACTCAAATAAAAATGCAGTACCTTTTACTATAGCCTCAAAGAAAATTCAATATCTAGGAATATATTTAACAAAAGAGGTGAGAGACATATACAGGGAGAACTATAAAACACTAAGAAAAGAAATTGTAGAAGATGTAAACAGATGGAAAAATCTACCTTGCTCATGGATTGGTAGAATCAACATTGTTAAAATGTCCATACTACCCAAAGTGATATACAGAATTAATGCAATCTCTATCAAAGTACCATCATCATTCTTTACAGATCTAGAAAAAAATAATTCTATGCTTTGCATGGAACCAGAGAAGACCTTGTGTAGCCAAAGCAATCTTAAGCAAAAAGAACAAACTGGGAGCTATCAGTCTACCAGATTTCAAGCTGTACTACAAGGCTATAGTAACTAAAACATCATGGTATTAGCACAAGAATAGAGACATAGACTTTTGGAACAGGACTGAGAATCCAGAGATAGAACCGTCTGCATGTTGTCATATAATCCTTGACAAAGCAGACAAATATACACTGGGGAAAAGAATCTCTATTCAATAATTGGTACTGGGAAAACTGGATAGCTACATGCAGAAGATTGAAACTAGATCCCTACCTCTCACCTCTTACAAAAATCAATTCAAGGTGGATAACAGACTTAAACCTAAGGCATGAAACCTTAAGAATTCTAGAAGAAGATGTTGGGAAGACCCTTTCAGACATTGGCCTAGGCTAAGAATTTATGAAGAAGACCCCCCATTTATTTTAATAGATGGTACCTAATCAAATTAAAAAGCTTTTGTATAGACAAGGGAACTATCATTAAAGCGAATAGACAAACTAAACAATGGGAGAAAATATTTACTCTCTACTCATTCCATAAAGGGCTGATAACAAGAATCTATCCAGAACTCAAAAAAAAAAAAAAAATTAACAAGAAAAAAAATCCAACAACCCCATCAATAAATGGGCAAACGACATGAAAAGAAACTTTTGGTATTTGGTGCTTGAGTCCCTAAGTATATTTACACAGATGTGAAACTCTTGCTGATTTGGAATACAGTGTTGAGACTCCTTAAGATGATGTTGGTCCAGTGAGTTAGATCAGGATATTTAAGCAATGTAATGAGAGAATTTATTTTTTGATCTTGTCAGACTATGACAATTCCTTTGCTATCAACATTTCTATTTCCTACTTCTGAATTTAGTCAATCTGACAAAATAAAATGTCACTTTAGCATGTTAATGCCCTCTCTTAAAATTTGTCTGGCATAATTTCAAGAAATAGGAAAACCTGTATGTATTAATTTTGTATGCAATTAGTCTTCATATATAATGAATATATATGAATAGAAAATGTTCACAAGTATTCTAAAAATGGGTCTTTGAAACACTGAATAGAATATGGGGGAAAAGCAATTTAAAAAAAAATCTTATCCTAAGTGAAGTATCTCAAGAATGGAAAAGCAAATGCCACATGTACTCCAAGCAGTTCGCCCCACCTCTCTCTTCCCAGCTTTGGCTGTCTCCAGTCACTTCCCTGATGACTCACAATGCTCTCTCAGAGACAGTCTACCCACAGATGAACCTCAATGCATAGCCCTCTCATAGCCCCTTGAGAGTGGTGAGTGCAGGCTACTTCTAGTCTGCCATCTTGGCCTCTCCCCCAAAATCTGTATTTTTAAGCCATTTCTTAAACTGAATCTTCCTAATTTAGTAATATTATCTTCTCCTCTCAAATATTCTAATCTCCAACCTACCTTATAACTAGGAATAAAATGATGAAACTTGTAAAAAAATATACAGAAGACACTCAACTTATATGCCTCAATCCACCTACTAAAAGCAACCTTTTAGACTAGAGCTGTCAAAGTGGATCAGATGGAGAGAAATCATAACCCTCTCTATTTGACTGAACGTTTGCACTCAGTGTTGGGAAGATGAGGCCAGGCGAGACCTTGACGTGAATGTTCAACAGTGGCAGCCTCTTTTGGGCTATAAAATGTGGGCTAGACGTCCTAAGCCTTTAGACCACTTGGTGGTGTTTGATGGAGTGGTATATTGTAGAAATTAAACCCCTACTTTATAAGCAAAGGAATAGAATTATTCTTTCTTACATGCTGTAGTAGACTGAATTTGAAAGAAAAACAGAGAGAATAGGGGGACCAACATCTTGGGTGAAAGAAACAGTCTCCCTCTTAGTAAGGATCTCCCAGCTATGGGACCACTACACTTTCAATGTCAGCTTGGTGAGTGTATATTATATAACCCCCTCCTTTAGAGTGTGCCCTGGCAAAGTAACACTAAGAATCTTTTGCTCTCAAGTATTTCTTAAAAAGGAGTTTTGGAATAGAAGCCTTGTACTTTTCTATCATGCTTTTCCAAAAACTGTCCTGCAGTTGATTCATAAGCCAAAAGCTCTATCAAGCCTTCAAGGAACATCCAGGTGATATGTCTACCGTCAGATTACACCTATTTAAGCCAATGCTTTTCACTGAATATACAAAATAACTATAAGAGATATTTTCTTTTTAGTAAGATAGTATCATTTTCTGTTTTCCTGTACTCTACTAGATGCAATCCATATAGAGAAACCACAGACATTCTGCTTCTGTCATTTCAATGCACACTGAAGCAATTCCATAAAAACCAGATGCTGGCTGGGTCACAGTTTATCAACTTGTTAGTCAATAACCTTAGCTTTCTCTCTTTGCATGTGTGGATGAATATGGTTTGTGAATTCCTCTGGGCACATTCTAGTTTGCCAAAAAAAATTAATCTGGAGGAAAAAATGTACTTGCTCTCCTTCGGAAACTTGTAAAAGCTTGTAAAATATTAAATGAAAATATTAAGTATGATATTTGAGAGTCATGGTTGTGTTATGCTGAAGATATTATTCAGATATTTTTCCATTTTTTTTTTTGGCACCAGGAAGCTATGAAGATTAAAATATCCCTGAAAATCTTCCAAGTCCTTTGTCTTCTGGCTGTTTTTTCAGACCTGGCCTCTTAGCTAGGAAGCAGGCCCTGTGAAACACTTCAATTTCTACTCCATCATATATAAAGCAAATTTATTTATGTAGTTTTAAAAATATATATGCAAATTAGGTTGCAGTATTTTTAATGTTTCTTTCATTTTTCCACTTCTTTC